TGTTGGGGTGCACAATAAGTGGAGAGGGAACACAATAAGGACAGCTGACCCAAACTGACCAAAGGGATATTCCTTGCCATATAATGTCATGATCAGCAATAAAAACTGAGGAAGGGGTCTTTCAGGAAGGTAACCACTGTCCAAAGACTGGGTTGGCATTAGTCTGCTTGTCAGAGGTGATGAGCAGTTGATTGCCTGTGCATCACTTGGTTTGTTTTACTTCTTGTTTCTTCTTCCTCTTTCCTTTACTGCTTAAGCTCTCTTTAATTTGACCTGTGAGCTTTCTTGCTTTTGCTCTTCCTGTTTTATCCTCCACCCTGCTGGCACAAGGGGAGTGAGTGGAGGCTCTGTGGTTCTTATCTGCTAGCCAGGGCACCACAGTCCTATAAAAAGTCTCATAAAAAGTAACTTTGATGGTAATTAAATATGAATGGAATGCTGCAATAACAAATCCAAAGGAAAAATGGCATTTGGTAGATTTACAGTCTTTGCACCTATAAAGGTCATCTGCAGTCAATAAAGATGTGTGCAATTGAATGCAAGTAATCTGAGTCTGAGGAGAACCTTACATTGTGCAGAATTTCAGGTGTTTCTCTGAAAGGCACAGACTTGAGTAATACAATGCATATTTGCGTAACATAATTGAAAGAAGCTCAGAAGTTTTCCCTGTAACCCAGGTAAAGATAGGGTAATTCTTGTGCTTGCAGTGCTGCATCACCTGAGCGTGGAAAAGTATAATCTCTGCTTGACTTGTACACTCAGCAGAACACTCACATCAGTGGATTTGACTTTTTTGAGAAACGAACTACACTGGTACCTCTTCATCTACTGTTAAAAACACTTCACTGATGTAGTGTACTAGTGCAGCTTTTATTGCCATGGACCTTGTGCATTTGTATATCTCTTCCTTAATTCTTCCCTCTTCCCTTTATAACCAGGCCCCCCTGCTATATCCCTCAAGACTGTAGAGTAAATAGGCTCAAATAAAAAATCTAAAACTAAAATAGTAAGTATAAGCAGAAAAGGATTGGTTTAATTTCTTTGAGGAGAAAGTGAAGCAGTGGAAAGATGACATGGAAATGAAGGATTAAGGAAGTAAGTTGAAAAGAAGGAAGGAAAATAGTAGCAAGTCTCAAGAAACAGAGGCAGAATGAGCTGATAGATGTGGGATTGTGATAAGAGAAAGCACTTGTGTAGGTGTAATGACTGCACGTTCTGATGCTTTGAACTGGTTGATGCACTGATAACCTGGGATCCCTAGAAATGACAGACTGCAGGTGCTGGTATAGAAATAGGCACAGGCATGTCAGCCAGAAATGTACCATTCTTAGTGCTCCACAGTCCTGAACAGTGATTTGAGGAGCAAGAATAGAAGATGCAAACTTGAAACTGGGAAGAGTGTTGTTGGAAGAATTCAGCTGCTATGCAATTATGTCAGGACTCTGCATTAGCAGAATTACCAGCAAATAAACTGAGACCAAGCATGCACAGCTGGAGAAGGTAAGCTGTGGGCTCCATCCAGTTGGGAAGTCTTCTAAATGTCAACGTGCTGACCACATGCATGCATGAAGGACTCATAAATATGGCCTCACCTCATCCTTACTTGCAGTTAGTACCTCAGGCTGCAAAGACTTGGCCTTGGACGAGTGCTAAAAGAGAGATTTAGCTGTTACGGAGGTGGTGTTGTTGGAGAAAATAGTAACAAAGATTGTTCCTGGTCTACGGGTTGACGTTTGGATGTGGAATAAAGAACTAATTAAATAAAGAAATGCTGAAGTGCTTGAGGAGGGGCTGGTAAAGAGAGTCAGAACTGGTGGGAATAGTAATTCAGGAACCAGTCAGACATTTAGTGAAGAGGTTATAGCTAACTCAGTTAGGAAATTGAGATCAAGGAGAATCCATTAGAATGCTTGTGTATTATGGCAAGTATCCCAGGCCACATAATGGAACATTTACTGATGCATGACAGGAGATGGTGTTTCAGAAGGAACATCAATACCACAGAATCATATTCACATTTTGAAAAGGTTCATGTAGTTCAGGAGAGAGAGCAATAAAGGTGATGATGTTACATTTAAAAATCAGTGATACTATGTTGAACTGAATAAAAGATATTTGGATAACTTACAGCAGGATCTGATTTATTGTCACATTTGGGGAAACATCAAGAAAAGAATTCTGAAACAATTTTAGTATTCTGCTATAAGCATCTGGGACCAGAGTGGGATATCGTTAGAAACAGACTTTTTTCATATGTGGGACTAACTTCTTAATGTAATTTGAACAGATGTGCTATGTAGGAAGAAAATAATCGTGTTACTTGAAGAAATAGCTATTAATGCTATCTTAATCTGTTTTTGAAACACCTTATTTTATGTTTGTTTTGGTTTTTTTTTAATATATTTTAGTCACGGAGTGTGGACAAGCAACATGCTGTACTTAACTACGATGCCTCTACAGATGAACACTTAGTGAAGGATTTGGGCAGCTTGAATGGGGTAAGAACATCAGAAACTGATAGCTCCCCATAGTATGTTTGTTGGGGGATTTGTTTTTGAGCCAAGAGAGTATGACTTAATAAGTGTACGTTAATATCTTTTTAATGCAAGATTAGAAATGGATGAACATTCAAAAGGAAAATGTTTTTGTAGAGGCTTTCAACTACATGTTAAAGAGCTACAATAAATTTGTTTAATCAGGGGGCTTTGGCTGTAAGAGAAATTCAAAAGAATAAAAAGGAATATGTTACGCTTCTGTGTTTCAGAAATATAAAAAAAAACCCCAAACTAATTTTGCCTATATTGTAAATATAATTTTTTTTTCCAATCTCTAAAATATCTGGTTAAGAAATTGATTTTTACTTTATATGCTATTCCATTCTCCTCCTTTTGGACAGAAGAGAGTGTGAAGCTCTATTTCATATGGGGGGAAAAAAGTACACAATAAACATCTTATATGTAAAACCTATTTAAATCTATATTTGCATTTAGTTTATCAGTATCAAACTGTGAATAATGTGTGGCAAGTTATTAGAAATGAATATAGCAAAAATGAAAAGTTGTGGGCAAAATAGTTTTGTATGACATCTTGTGTTTTAAGGCTTTTCTAGGAATTGCATAAACAATATTTAGGTAAGCTTTGCCTTTTATAAATATTCTGAATATTGTAATAGATTATTAAAAACCTACTAACTTTGTCATATTTGTAGCCCTTTAGATACTTTTAAAAATTAAATTATTGCTTCATCAAGAGCTTGCTTTTTTTTTTTTTCATTAGCTTGCTTCATCAAGAGCAAACATTTATTTTGGGTCTCCCCCACTTAGTCCCATTTCTTTCTAGAACAGATATAGCTTTTCTTTGTATACAGGACCACTCAATTTTCTTTATCCACAGGACCATTGGTATGATGTGCTTTAACCACTCAAGATAATACAGAGTTTAAGGAGAGATGGCTACTACCAGTACCATAGGGCTTTTGCTTTGAGTTTTATGATTCTCAAATAACTTCACAATATAACTGTAATTGTACTTGATATCTGAATATTCTCATGTGTGTGTGTTGTGGTTTGAGGCTTGGAATGGGGTCGTGACCTTCCAGCAACTGGGAGGACACCGGGTGGGTGTGAAACCATTGTATTCCCTCCCCTTCCCACACACACTCTGATAAGAGGCAGGGAGTGGTTTCTTATTTCACTCCTGCCTTGGAGCTCGGAGAGGAAAGTTCTCCTTTCACTCCGTGGGACCCTGGAACCATTTCTGAGGGTTTTGTATATTTTATTTTTTGTATTATTCCCCTAATCTTTGTATATATTATTTTCCTTACCTCCCTTTTTCGTTTTCTGTTCCTTGTTGAACAATATACTTCATTTTTTTTCCAAAGTGTCTCTCTCTCTCTCTCTCTGGGGGGGGGGAGAGGCGAGTACATAGTTCTGTTCCGTGTGGGTCCTGCCCTGAACCCCTTTTTACACGGAACCAGGACAGTGTGGTTGATTCACACACAGGTCAGCAAAAGAGTTACAGCAGTTTTCTACCCTGGACTTTCATATCCACATTTGAAAGTAAAGCAAAAGTAAATTTTAATCAGATACACATGATGCCAAGTTTTATTTCTAATAATCTGTCATTATTCCTCCAGGTCATTCCTATTGTATATTTTATGTTTATTCCTCTTTTAACTTGATAAAAAAAAAAATAATTAAAGGATTTCTCTTTTCTGAAGGAAATGAGTAAAGTTGCTAAGATATCATGTTATTTCACCAGCATCAACAGAATTCAACTGTATTTTCTCCTTTGTCTTGTGACCTCAAAAACATACTGGAAAAATCAAACATCCATGGCCCCTGAATAATGAATAACATTATTCTCAGAGATATTTACAAGATACTGAAGTCCTTTCACAGAGATGTTTTAGGACTGAATTGCAGAATGCTCAGTGAGCTTTGTGAAGGCTTGAAGAGAGTTGACTCACTATTTGAAGAGTAAAGCTTTGGAAATAATGTGACTATATAGACATGTGTAGAGTGATTTAAAGTAGGGAAGAGAATTCCTTGTTTACATAGTAACTAGCTTTTCAGGCTGGCCTTGTCTTACATCCCAAAGCTTGTGATGGGATATTTAAACTCCAGTGGCAAAGCAACTGGGGCTTGGCTGTTGTATGCCAACAGTTCAGTCACGAGCATGTCTGTACACTGCACACATGACCTTCAGAGTTCTCTGGGTTGAGTGTACTGCATACACATGAGTTTCAAAACTCTGACCCAGGAGGAAAAATGCATACGTACATAAATACATAAATGTTTACAAGGCATGCTAAATTTTGTTGATTCAGTAGAATTCAGGCTGCCTTGAGGACATTCTTCACATGGGTTTTTGCTCTGGACTCTGAACGATGTTGAATTTGAATAAATATTTGTTAAGCAGTACTCAGTTTCATGCTTACAAACCAGCAAGTAGTTGTACCTTTAGTTCTGACTTCTCATGGAAGATACTTTCTATGAAGGAGGTAAAATTATGTGGGTGTTTTTTTAAGTAATGAAGGAAACATAATTTTAATTTAGAAAAAGAAACCAACAGGAAATAACTTTACTATTTGGGGGAAGGACATTGTTTCTCTTTCCAGACTTCATCTAATCCTAGTTTTAGATTAGCAGTACAGACATTCAACGATTCAATTTCATGACTTAATTATTCAAGTTTATTTTTGTGTGTGTGTATGCCCCTAACTTCAAAGTACTTTAAAAACGGCATATTTAATCTGCTGCATTCCTTAGAAACATGTACATGTTGTTGTAGAATTCTTAACTTGGAAATAGCATTGTCCTGTGGAGTTCTCATGTTCCGAGTCCCCAAAATGGGCACAAACCAATAGTAAATGTGTTTCAGAAAGGCACCCTGGATATTTAATCTCCTATTTGTAGTATTTGCATGTAGTTGTTATGAAGAGTAAAAACAAGCAAGAAGATGTACTTTTTTTAGGTTATGGAAAAGTACACAACTGATAAATAATTCATAAAATAATGCAACACTTTCATACCAACTAATCCTTAAATTTTTTTTTGCTCTGAATTTGCCCTAAGTTAAGCCTTCATTTTGTATTTCAAAATAAAATGAAGTAACACCAGGAACAAGAGACATCTCAAATATAGCTGATTATTTATATTTCTTACAAGGAAGATGCTCCATTCTTTTAAGTCCAGATATTGCATTCTGTTCAGGTAAAAGAAGAGAGAAGATTTCAAGAAAGCTAGAGGAGAATGTAGAGGAGAGGAACTTAACAGAATAAAATATAGCTTCTTAATGCAAATTTGAATTGAGTCTTGAGGAATAGTTTAAGGCAAGATGCTGTGCAGAGGTATTTTGTCAGCTCACTCTGTAGGAGGATTCTTCAAGAATCTGTAACTCTGAAAGTGTCTTAGATGTTACGCAGAGTCACATTTACTGTTTTCTTTTATTTCATAGCCTGTTCTCTACTTTTTGTAATTGCAAGCTGAATATTCTGTTCCACTAGACAAAACATGTCTTCACCCTTTTATGTATCTCTGTCACTGAGTGAATTCAGAAGGTACTGACACTATCTAGGGTTTTCTCTGAACGTAACAGATTCAGTTTAGGAAGCAATTCACTTTCATAGTTAGAGATGCAGCCTAATTTGGAGAGTTTTGTTGAGTGGTGTAACTCAGGATGAGCAGAAGCACCAATTTGAGAGCTGTCATTGGGAGGCGGCAGGCTGGGAGAATTTTCTACCTGATGGTTTAAACATTGCCTCCAACAGCAAAAGGGCAAGATGGGAGAAGAACACTTGTATCCTGATGCCCACTGCTACCTTAGTGTATTACTGCCTTTGGTTTCTGCTATCTGAAGTCACCACAATAAGTCTTGCTGATGTTAGTAACTTGGATGGTTTGCTTGATGCTGACAACCTGCCTTCCTGCAACTATAAATCAGTCTTTAAAGATGCAGATCTCTTCCAATAGAGAAACAAACTGTTTTAATTTTCCTGGTTCTTATAAGGGTTGTGTCTGTTGTAGAATTTGATGTAGGTTACTTTCTAGAGTTTTCTTTAGGGTTTAAATAATATTAACCACAGAGAGTCAGTTGTTTTCCATCTCTTCCAGATTGCATCTTTGAGATCAATTTTGGCTTGTATGTGTATTATTCTTCCTCCTTGCTGCCCCTCTAATTAGTAGTAGCATATATCTCAGGTGCTCTATTGAAATCTATACCTGCATGTTTTTGGAATTTCCTTGTTATTCACTGTTAGGTTTAATCCAGAAGTTGAAATTGGAATGATTGGCAATCTGTATCACCTCTTAACAGCCAACTGATATGGCTGGTGAAATTGGGCAAACTTTCAGGTACATAAATCCTTCTCCAAATCAGTGAAAGCTTTTCTGATTTCTCTGTTATAATAATGTTATTTTTGCTTACAAATTTTGTTATGCCCACTCTTTCAAGAGTCACAATACATTAAATTCTTTATCACTCCTATTTCAAGTTAGTCAGATGCACTAAGTTTGTCCGTTTTTACTTTAAATCTTTTGACAGGGTTTAGCAATGATAAGCTACATCAGAATGCTCGTATCCAGTGTAAAATGCTGTACAAATATGGTGATAAATTCTGACAGCTAATTGGGATTGGAAAAGCAAACTACAAGAAAAATAATGCATGGAGGTGCTAATTTGAGGGAGAATTAATCAACAATTCAGTAAATACTTCTAATAAGACTAAACTTGTAAGAAACTTTTTAAGACCAGTGTGATGTCAGTGGCCTGGTTAGCGACTCATGTTTTACCTTTCATTCTAAATACTTTGTGAGGCGAGTGGCAATTTGAGCTTATCATTTAATTCCCCAGTGAATCACTAGAAGAAAATTTACAGTACTGAAAACTGTCTTATAAAATTATTTAAGTGATTTGTCATTTTATTATGCTGGAATTTAACAGCATCTCCTTCTGTCCTCATTTGTTTTGTTAGACATTTGTGAATGATGTGAGGATTCCAGAACAGACATACATCACTCTGAAGTTAGAAGATAAACTGAGATTTGGATATGATATCCTTGTCATAAAAATCCATAGTGGTGGGACACACTTTTCTTTTTAAAAGTATGGTTGTGTTAAATGAAAGATTCTCATACTGTTTGAGAAGCAACTTTGAAATATTTGTTTCTCCTATTACTAAAAAAAACTATCTATGTTAGAGAAAATTGTGGGTTTTACAATACTGTAGCTTGGTCAGAACTATTGTTTAAGTATCTGTCATTGTTTCTCTCTGCAAGAAATTTCAAATTCCAATTACTGTTTAAAACCTAATGTGTAACTTCTGTGTTGCTAAGGAACGTGACTTTTCTTTGAGGCAAATACACAAATACTGGCATCGTATAAGATTGTATACAAGTAGAGAAGATTACAGTTACTCAGGAAACTGCTCAATGAAAAAAATGGAGAACTTGGATTAGTACAATATTAAGGTATCTACTCTATGTTCTGGTTATAAATAGCAAATGATAGTATTGTGCATTTGCTTTGAGCATGTTTGTACATGCTAGTCCCAATAGTGACATATTTGTAAAGTGTCACCATTCCAATGGCAGAACTGTTGCTTTTCTGTAAAATCCTCTTGTGAAATGAGAAATTTTCCCAGTATTTTCCTTAACATTTCCTACATACTAATCTCTTTACTGTCGTCAGGGGAGAGATGAGAGTCCCTGAAGAAGCACTTAAGGTAACAACATGCAGTTCCTAGATGTTCTTCCAATAAAGTATAGGTATTTGTAATATAAGAGTTTTTTCCACTCTTTGAGGATGTTTTTATCTCTGTTTAATATCATGTAGCATGAAAAATTCACAAGCCAACTCCAGTTATCCCAAAAATCTTCAGAGGCAGAAGGATCAAAGCAAACCAGCTCAAAAAGCTCAGAGTCCAAGGTAACAGACTCCACAGCAGAAGTGCAGCACAAAGCAACAGAAGCACTGAAATCTGAAGAGAAATCAATGGGTAAGGTTTATTTTTGCTGCAGAAGCACACAGACTTGGAAAAATTATCCATTTCCTTTGATAGGATACTTGTGAAATTCTGTAGAGAGTAAGAACTCCACATATATGAAATTTTACATATGTACTGTAGGTGTAATTAACGACTTTCAGAATTTAATTCCTGCATTTTTTACTGCAGCATCCAGATGTTAAGAAAATTCTTAAGGGGCATTTAATCAGCATTTATCAGATTTTTGCATTTCTCTTTCCCAAAATGACAAACTTCCAGAACTGTGGCAGGAAAGGAATATTTTTTGCAGGTTAACTGAAAATATTTGTTCAGGAGCGGTGTGTATTTTTTACCACCACCCTTGTCATCAAGTGGTGTAGTTGGTTTTTGTTTCGTTTTGTTTTGGGTTTTTTAGTGGTTGTTTTTGTTTGTTTTGGGTTTTTGTTTTTTTTTAATGGGTGGGCTTTTTATTTTATAGTTACTAGCATTCATTGTTAGATGTGTCAGGATTCCATTGTGGTTTAAAAAAATGTGGAAACTGTAGCTTTGGTCTTGTTTCTACATCACCTTTCATATTTTTGTAACATGTCATGGTGGCTCTGCTGCAGATGTCTTAACTGCAGTGTGAGCCTTACTAAACTTCATTGTTCCATCTTATAGTAATGTGCTGTGTTACCTGTTACTACAGGAGATAACCACAAGAATGAGAAAGGAATCAGGTATTGTTGCTTCCTGAATATGGAGCTGACTAGATCTGGCTGCTTAGGTCAAGGCTGTACAGCTGTGTGTAGGTTTAATTTGTTCTTCTAGAGGACACTTCAAATAGTTCTCTTCCCCACATACAGAGCTCTGTATACTATAACTAACCTGTTTGTTTTGTTGGCTTATCTAGAATCCTATTAAGGGCACATAAGACCTATCCATTACTTCAGTGTTGCTATTCAGTACGGCTTTTGGCATTCAGGTCCTCTTAAGTTTTCATAAAGTAGCATGGTGGGCTTTTTATCCTCATCTGCCATTTTTCTTTTCACTCTTCCACAAAGTAAGTCAAAGTTAGTGATAGGATTTTCTGTTTGAGTGCAGCTCTCAGAATATTTTAGAGGACTGATTCTCTCACTGTTGCTATAGATATGCATAGTGATTTACTGTTGCTAATTCAGTGCACAAGCATCAGCCATCAAGTTTTTAAAAATGATTCAGTATTAACTAAAGTGTAATGCCATTTAAAGAAAGAAATGCTTAGTATCTTCCCACCATATAGAAACTTTTGGCGTGGCTATGAAAATAAATATCATCTTTGTAATTGCAGTGAATAAGACTTTAAAAATATTGAAATTCATGATGGATGAAGTATCAGACAAGCTACTAAGATGGATTTGAACAGATCACGTTATTTTATATAAAGACTGTTTATAGTATCTTCAGAACATCTGTATGACACTGGAATAGCTAAGTCTGAGTAGGGCGAAGTATTCCACAAGATCAGTTCAAAAGTAATACAGTAAATTCATTATCAAGGTAGAAAACATAATTATATCAATGGGGTTTTTTTTCTTATTTAGTTTTTACATTTCAATGTTTAGTCTTGTATACAACCTATATAAGAAATAGAATTTTTAATTGTACTGCAATTTAGTGCCTTGCCTAAAAAACATAAGAAGGTTGTGCTCAGTAATGTTTTACACAAGGTAACTTTCAGCACTCTGTACTGGCTGTCAGTAATTTGGAACCTTGGCAACACTGCAAAATTTGATCAGTTTTTCATGCAGTGAGTTCAGATTTCATTGAAAGGTCAATGTGGATAAAAGTGAGAATCTTCTCACAGAAGTAGCAGTGGACAGCCTTTAGGACTGTACTGCTGTGCTGATGACTGAAAGCAGAAAATAATGTTTATACATATATAAAAGGGTAACAATAAGAGATGTCAGCTGCCTTTGCATAAAGACTTGTGCCAGAAGTTTTCATCAGGTCACTAGTAAGCTTTTATATTTAGAACCCAGATCAGTTATCAAGCCTCCAAGTTTGTTTTATGTTTAGGCAAATGCATGCAACTAATTCACTTCAGCTTGCCGGAGAAATGATTCAAGCAAATTACTCTTTATTCATGGTACTTTAACCTAAATATCACGGCTAAATAGCAAAGTAGTTTCCTCTCTTTGGGGCTTATATTGTAGATCTTTCTGCCATGCCGCGTGGGACACCCTTGTATGGACAGCCGGCCTGGTGGGGTGACGATGAAGCTGATGAAAAAAGTGGTTGTAAGCCAGACAGCAAGCATGAAGAAAAAATGCATGAGACAGGGGCTTCAGGTAAGCCTGGTGTTTTATTTTTTCTGAGTGTGTTCTTTTGGGTTTTTTTTAGTACAGTACATGTATTCTTAACTAGGGAACTAAACAGATATTAATGTTTACAAGTCTCATAGGCAGTTTGCATAGATGAAACCCTATTAAAATTAAGTTAGTTTAAAAAACTTATTCTTTGAGAAACATGCATTCCCAGAGACAAATTTTCTAGTATTTAATACATTTTTGTATTAGTAAATAGAGAAAATAATACTACCTGAACCGTTGTGTCTTACTTGTCAATTCAATCCATATCTGTCATTTTATATGCTTAAAATCAGAGATTGCATAGGGATATTTTATCAAAATAATTTCTGAAAATAAATGGTGCTATGGGTTTTTTTTATTGGACTTTTAGCTTTATAAGGTCATTTATGCTAACGTTCTTTTCTGTAATTCAGTAGTGCTGCTCTGCACTAGTAGAAATTGCATTTTGTAGTTCTTGCAGTAAAGATTTGCATAGTCTAAAGTTAAACTGGTAATGTTTATTTTCCCATAATACAGATTTTTTTTTTTTTGTTAGCTTGTTTATACACAGTATGTATTGCCAAAACTTAAATCCTAATGTCTATAATTAGGCTTCTAAGCCTATCGTCAGGCATATAAATAAAGTGATTGCAGTTCTAATAAAGAATGGCCTTAAAACTTATTCAGGTTAGAACAAAATTCAACCATGTTGGTTTAGCTGTTTAGACATACATTTAAGACCAAATAATTTAGGTTTGCAGTTTTTTTGCAGTACTTCTAACTGAAGTGGGTATTTCTCTCTTCCTGTAATAGCAGTTTCCTTGCTTATCATGACTCCTACTTTGGAAGAAGTGGAGTAAGCCGTAAAAGCACGTAAAGTCAAACTAACCTAACATCTGTGGAGTTAACTTTTTCTCATAGCCTTTGATGACTTTTTTTCATATTAGTGCTAAAGCTGTTACAACTCCGTGAAGTAAGACCCTTCAGATTTGGACTAGTAGAAAAAAAACAGGTAAAAAGATTTAAATTAGTGACAGTTTTCATGCAATTTAGCTTTGTCACTTATAGAAGAGCTGCATCATAATGCAGTACAGTTACAGAACACTTTCTTATTTGGCTGGGGTTTTTTTTTTTTTGTGAAAAACTTCTCTACCATATGCAGTATGAGTTGAGTATGCTCTTGCTTACTCCTATAGAGGCTTTTTAACTACAGGTTTAATATGCTACATTTTTAATAAATAACTCTACAGTTCAAATCTTGCCTAGAAATGTGTTCTTTAAACACTTTTAAGCCTCTTGAGGAATACAAGTGTTCTTCCTAATGGCAATAATAATGAGAGACAGTGACAGCTAGAGGTTATTCCACTTCTGTTTTTCTCAACAAAAAGAAAAAGCACATGTAATCAGTTGCAAAGAAAGAGAATTAAGTCCTTGCCTTTGAGTCATGCCATTGGTACACTTCCTAGCCACATGATTCTGCTGGCTTTCCAGATTACAGCAAGCATTAGCTGTTGGCTGTGAAACCTGTGACTCTCTGTCTTGCCATATATGCCAAAACAGGGCTGGTAAAGTGCCTGGTATCTGTGTTTTTATTGCTTAGATGCCTATAGCAAACTAATAACAAAACTAAGAATTCATCAAGCTTTTTATATACACTTGTATCTGTTGTTTTAATTTAAAAATAACATGCACATTATTCATTCTCATTAAATATTAGATTATTAAAAAGTAATATCTTCAGGTCTGTTTTTTTGATGCCATGACATTAACAAGGCATGACGCAAGATTCCACCTACTATTTAGTAGCATGCATCTTCTTATTTTTCATAGTTTCAGATCAGTTTTTGAGAAGCAATATTGCATCAAATAGTTTACTGCTGTTATATTCATATTATCAAGAAAATTTTCAGCAAGTGATCTGTGCTTCTGTCTTAATTCCTCACTTCAAAGAGGTATAAGTTTCCAACTTCCTTTCAGACTAATCAAGGAGGTGCAATCTGTTTCAGTAGCGGATGAAAACAAGACAGAATTAGACAGAACTTTGCAGTGGGGATATATTTGACATGCTTTACCTTAGTGAAGCCATATAAAGGAAATGATGTACAGAGAACACGGACTACTATTTTCTACAGTATTTAATAATTTGTTTGTTTGTTTTCCAGATACATACACTATAAATAAAATCTGAGCTCAATTTTTTTTGTCAAATACAATTATTTCTTTTCTTTTTTTTTTTTTAATGTACAACATATGTTAGAAATCCCTTTTGTTTAATTGTTATTCAGTCATGTGTTTATCTTCTACAAATAGAATTAATATAAGTAATGTGTGGCAATAGCTTCTATTTCCTCAAACTGAGAGACTAATACAGCTGCAAGAATGGAATTCAGTTTGAATAAGCACACACTAAGCAAAAGCTTAATTATAGGAAGACACTGCTGGCGAACAAAGCAACCTGACATTTTTTCAAAACAATTTAATTTGGGAGAATGTGGAGGTAAAATCTCTTGTATGCTCTTGTATGGACAAGTGATTTATTTATCTTGACCACTTAATCTCTGAATAGGCATTAGTTGTATGTTTTACTAGTCTGGTTTTTGACTGTTGTAGATGTTTTTCAGTAGTGTTGGCGGAGAGACTGAGAAGACAGACCAGATAAGAGCAGGTTTGCCTCATTTAATCAGTCTCAAAACATTAACTATGTCTGCGTAGAAGTGTGGAAAAAAAAAATATCCCAAATGTATACAATCATAAAATAAAGAAATAAGCTTTTTGGACCCCATAAAACTAAATTAATTTTCAACAGGTAGTATGTATTTTCTTCATGTGATTCAGTTTTATAACATAGATGAACATAGTGATGAGAAATCAGTATAAAGAAACTTTAATGAAAGGAAACTAGAAACTTCGCAAGACCCTCATGTTTGGATATTCTATAAATAAAAATGAACTTTAGTTTAATAAAAAACATTCAAGATTGACATAGTTATTTGTTCTCCCATGGGCTAAATTGCAATAAGTAGTATTTAATAACGTGAGTATTTTAAACAAAATGTTAATTCAAATTTTGGATATATATAAACTGACTAAAAATAAGTACATTGCAGGTGAATTCACATATGGAAGTTCTTAAACTTTTTGTTCAGTAACTCAAATCAGTAAAGCTTGATGTAATTTTAACAAGTTAATCCTATGAAGAATCTGCTTCATGCTTCACTGAATAAAAAATAAGGCATCAGTTACAACAGATGGGGCAAGGTTTAATGAGGAGATTGAAATGGGAGATTTGTTTCTGCTAAGCCAACTATAGACAATTAGTCTTTACAGTCTCATGTTAATAAGATTATTTCTATATTACTGTCATTCTATCACAACAGAAACTCACTAATGGAAATTATTAGCAAACAGAGCAGTATAGCCTGGAAAAATTATAAAAGAAAAAAACTTTCTGCTTTTTTCAGGCATGCATACTGTTCTGATTTAATGATCTGTGGGTCTAGTAGTCCGTATTGAAACGTACAGTTGCATATACAGTGATGGTGTGACTTTTATCAATGCTGCAGCTATTAAACTTATGTATTATTGGCAAGTTTACCAGGTGTCTAATTATTCTTATTGCCATGTGTTACACCCTCACTCTCTGGAAAAGCAAAAACTACAATCTCTGCTGATCCCAGTAGTACTTGTACAATTTTACATGATTAATGTCTTTACCAGAAATCTAAGAAACAATGGAAGTGAACATTTAAACCAGCTTTAAGAATCTGAAGTAATTTTTTTCCATTTGGCATGAAATACTTTTTAATTCCAGCATTGTGTAACAATGTATCAGATTAAGTAAGTTAATCAAATTTAAGAAAGGGTATCATTTTAAGGTAAAGCAGGCTGACAATTATTTTAGAAATACCAGTGTAATCAGTATGAGGAGATTACTCACACATTTAATGATTAGTATTAAAATTAAAACTTTTAAACTTCCTGGAAGTTGGTTTTGGAGTTTTGCTGAGGTTTGGCCTGGAATATATGCAAGTGCTCCATATGTAGGACTTGCTTTGCAAAGCTATAGCAGCAAATGTGCATAGTATGTCATGAGGATTTTACAGAACTTTTAAGAGCCATAGCAGCAGTCTATTTAAGTAAGATCAGTTTTGCAGTTTTTTTGCTTTAACTCCTTTAAAGCATGTAGTGAAATGGCTCATTATGAGAGGTGGGGATTTCTACACACTATTATTCTATATTTTTATTTAGAGAGCAATTTTGATATTATTTCATGAGACAGGTTATAACATCATTAAAAGACAAAGATCTTACTTAATACCAGGTGAAACGCTAAAAGTATTTTTTGAAATCTTGTCTTTATCAAATGAAAAATATGCTTCAGACATAAAGCAAAAACAACCTTAAAAGGTAAGTGGGAAATAAAAAGTAGTAATATGGAGAGGAGAAAGAAAGGAAAAAAGAAATTCTGTTAAGTGTTTGAAAGCAATAACTTCAGCTTCTTTTCATTAAACATATCATTGCACAGTAACAAATATAAAGCATATATAATATAAAATATTTTGGGATTTTGTGTACAGGTGATATTTTGTCTGCTTCTTACGTTTTTTGCAAGTATTTTACTCCAGGTTTACAGATTTTTTTCAAGGCGTGCTTTGTAATTTCCAGATAGTTTTCTTTTACTTGTTATTTTCTTAAAATATTAAAGCAGAAAAAAACATTTCTAAAAAATCTTAAGGCTGTGCAAAATATTTTCTGAAGCTTCATCCTATCTTTGCAGATGATAATATATTCATATACACAGACGATTTCTTGCATATCTTATAGGTTAAGTGGAACAACACAGACCACCAATGACAAATTTTCCCCAGGTTGACAAGTAAAATCTTAAGATTCTGACTGGGCATGTAAGTTGAAGAAATAAAATTTAGAAAAACAAAGAGTTCTAGAAAGTATAATTAATTCTACTAATTAAAGAATGTTGATTTTCTGTTGATCATCTCTGACATTATTCTGGTAAAGAATCTCAGTGAATCGTCATTTGGTTAAACCTGTGATTTCCCAAATATGACACAGTTTCCCTCTTAGCCTCTCCTAGACTCATTATTTCATTCATAGTCTCACTGCACCTGTGTAGCAGCCACGGTGTTTGCTTCTTTACTTGCTGTGTAGAATCTATTGTACAGTTGTCTTCTGTTGGTAGCTCTAGACCTTTGTAGAATGAGAGCTCCTTCTTTACAGAACACTGGTTATTTTTCTGCCCTGTGCTTTCACTTTTGCTTGTTCAGAAATCTCTTCAGTCCCTGAAGAGATTGCAATTCACAACCCATCCATCCTTTTATTTTCCCCAAACATAATTTCAATTCCACACAGTTGCCTTTTTTTACTGTACAGATACTATGCTTGTTTCATTTAAGAAGTGTACAGCTGTGATTTCCACTTTCTTCAATATTTGCTTGAGGGTTTTCTCTTAAAGCTCTTTGTATTTAGTCTGATTTGTAATTTCCTTCATCTTGGCAGATGACTTTTTATAATAGGATTTCAAAGGTAAGGCTATTTTATAGATCACTCTTTGTAATATTTGGAAAGCTGTAAGGACTTGCATTTAGAATATGTGTGAAAAAATTTTGAAGGGTGAATCAGATCAAGATCTGTTTCCTCATTGTTTTCAATTCATTATTATAATGAATTCTGATGTATTTAACTCTTCTAAAAATGCAAGTACTTCAGGCTGAAAATAAGCTTTTTAAGTAATCAAAATTAACTTCTACTTCAGATAATTTCTAAGAATTTTTCTAGTTCTAGAAAGACGGTTTAGGTGTAGTTCAGTTTGTCATTTCTTCTGATGAAACTCACTCTGTAATTTAGATTCAAACTATATTATAGTATCTGTTTAATCAAAAATATTGGACTCAAATACTGTATGCATCATTATAGTATAAACAGTTGATTTCAAATGTTAAATTAAGTGCAGGCAAGTTTCAAAGGGAATTTTTTTTTTTTTATGAAGTTATCTTTCAATGCTGACAAGCCAATGTTGTAGATCCCTTATACTAAGCCTACCGTACATTTGTTGCAGTTTGGCTACAGTCTTATAAGTTTCAAAAGATGGTGATAAAACACTTACTTTATATTTAATGAAAAATATTGTTTATTGTGTTGCCAGTAGCTTGCTCTTGCCTGGCCCCAAAGTAGAAATATTTCTTATAAATGGCCTGTACTAGCCAGTTACCTTTTGAAGGAGCATTGGCAATAATCTTGGTTAGTTATTGGTTGGAGGAATTGCATGAAATTGTAGTCTTGAAGCCCTGACTAGAACTATAGGGGGGAAAAAAATAAGGTACGTATGAGTTGTCTCTGTGGTGAATTACTCCCCCATTCAGTGACAGTGTTGCCTACTGTAGGGATCCTGGCTCTAGATTTGATCCTATTAGAGCTTGATCTGTTCCAGTATATTAACTGGATGAAACAGAGAGTGATGGTAGTTCACCTAAAATCTAGTAGCTGCCAAGTGTGACTTCTGTTTATTTCTGAAGATTCACTGTCAAAGTGTAGGAGCTTTTTCAATGGCCTTTGCATCAGTAAAGTAGATTCATTCTATATTGTTTGTCTGCTGGCAGAAGTGTTTTCAGGAAGGGGATTAAAAGGCATCCTGCTTGCCGGGGAAGGGAGCGGGAGTTCCTGTTGTAGTCATAGTGCCTGAAAACTGCCCCACAGAGGTGAGGTAGCTGACAGCACAGCGAAAAGCATAAGCTAGAGTGTTCTTGGAATGCCATAACACAATATAAAAACCTCTCTGAACTCTGAATATATTTTGTGTTTGCAACAGCTACTCCTAGATAATAAATTAAAATAGCTGTTTTATGTGCATCAGTTATTTTATCCTGCTGGTATTCAAGCATGGCAATAATAAAGAATGTGTACTCTTTTTGTTATCGCTCCATAACATCATTATTTTCTTAACTGTTCCAACTATTATGCTGTCCCTTAATTAGTTCTATTTCTCTGTATCATATTACCATCCTTTTTTATTTTTTTACCATTTTCCTAGATCTTCACAAGAAGCATGTGTTTGTGAAGAAGAGCATAGATGCATTATGCCATCCTGCATCCTTTGCCCCTTAAAATACTGACTCCAGTATAAATGTTTCTGTTGCTACCTTATTACATAATAATTTCATACACAAATGTAAACTGTCTCAGGTGATATAGCGTAGCGATTTTTAACGCCAGAAATCTACTAATTGTCTTCTTATTCCTTTAGTTGGCAACTAAAAATGGTTTCTTAAACCTTTTGATTTGATTCATGACAAATCACATAGGAACTACTTAGAATTCTTTTGCTGGAATGCAGTTTGCCATTGTTGCTAACATCTCGGTCATCTGTTGCTTGTAGCACATCTCTGCACCAGATATTTTGGCTGGCTTACTAGTTCATGAAACCCAAGCAGAAGGTTTGTTTTCTTAAAGACACATTGGTAGCTTTGCTGCAACCACAAGAAGTTTTAACCTTCGTTCAGGCTATGCAGTGGGACTTCCAGTTACTACCTGGTGCTTTTTTCCATGTTCTGCTTTCTTTACCCAGTTAGAGCATGGTTTGGTAACATTCTGTGTGCTTCCAGCTGTTGTTAATTTTTATGTTCATCATTATGTTAGAAACAAGTAAACTAAGACATGATGACAGTAAGTTTTAGCTTGATTCTTTATATTTTGTAGAAACAAAATGTTTGAATTCCAAAACACTTTCCAGTGCTTATCCATGTTAAACTTTTCAAGCCAGAATTAATATTTATCTTGCGTTAATGTATTGTTTTTCCAAAGAATTTTACCAATCAAAATTATACTAGCTATCCATTGCAGGAGATGAAAGCCAGATCACTAGCACTAGTTTTGGAGGCACCTTGATTTGAGGTATTTTTGATAGATCGGAATTGCAATAGTTATCATCCCAACTATTTCTCTGACATAATTTATGTGTTTTCAAGGTGGTAATAACTCATCCGACCTTTGCATCACATACAAATTTTTGGAATGCAATCTTCCTTTGCCAAATTCTAAGCCAGCATTTTGCCATTTTACACTCTTTACAGCCGAAAGTTGTGCTGTCTTTCAGTAACACTTTTTATATACAATTCTGGAATTATTTTTCCAGAACTACTTTGCTCAGTCTTCTCCAGTCTTAATATTTATTCCAGAAATTACTCAAGTGGCCTCCACAGGAGTTTGAAAACTTCTTGAAGAACCTGAAGTTCCCAAGTATTGTGAAATCTATTTTTTTTATGTTTCTTACTAGGATGCAGCACAGATGCCAAGCAAGCTGAGGAGCAATCTGCAGCTGCAAGTGAAGAAATTTATCCTTTCTGTAGGGAGCCGAGTTATTTTGAAATCCCTACAAAAGAATTCCAGCAACCTTCACAGGTAGCAGAGAGCACTATTCATGAAATTCCAACAAAAGACACCCAAAGCTCCCATGCAGCAAGTGCGGGGCATGCTTCCTTTACTATTGAATTTGATGACAACACTCCAGGAAAAGTAACGATCAAAGATCATGTGACAAAATTCACATCGGAACAGCGCCACAAGTCAAAAAAGCCTTCTTCCTCCAGTGGTCAGGACCTGCCTGGGCTTCAAACAGTGATGATGGCCGCAGAGAGCAAAGTAGCAGATTGGCTAGCACAGAACAATCCTCCTAGAATGATATGGGAACCAACAGAGGAGGATTCCAAAAGTATTAAGAGTGATGTTCCAGTGTATTTGAAGAGACTGAAAGGTAAAGTGAATAATTTCAGCTATACTTATTTATGAAAGCAACGATTCCCCACCAGCATCCAGTGAGTGGATCCCCAAGTCCTTGCAGAGTTCAGTTGAATTCACAGATACTCCACATGTGTGCAAGGGTCTGTGCTGGGAAGTTTTATTACAGTATTAAGTCTTAGAAGGAAGATAGGACACAAAATCCTGAGTCATCTTATGATAAGGATACTAACTGGAGATATTCTGGTACAGCTGAAAACATCAGGTATTTGTATTTGTATTTGAAACTTTGATCTTGAAAGGGAAAAGGGGAAACCCCAAACCTTAGTTAGATTTTGTTTCACTTTTTCCCGTGCATTGCTTTAAAAAGCTGAATTGCTTTTTAGAATCGAAGCTCTGAAGTTAAATTTATGCTTCTAGCAATTCTTCCAATAGCACGTTCTGTGAATATTCATGGGCTTTAAGAAAATAATTTATAGCAAAGAATACATCATATATTTATTCTGCTCAAATCAATCATGTATTATGGAGTGAGGTTTGAATCAGGGATCCAAAATAGACCAAGAGCTTCAGCTTGTATACTAAGCTTGCAGAGTATCATGTTTATAAGACTGCTGCTGTTGAATGGAGTTCCAGGTGGTTACATGTGTTCAGTTACTGCAGACAGTGACTTCAAATAAAAATAAATCAAATGTTAAGCATGATGAGTGTACTCTCTTTTGGATGCAACTTAGCAGAATAGAGAAGAAAGTAGTTTCAATGTTCAGATGAAGATTCCAGTGACATTCAGACTTTCACAATGAAAACTTCTGAAGAACTTTTTCAAGTCTCTTTCTGTTTTTAATGTCAGGAGTTAAGCCTGCAATTCCCGTTTTTCTTCATTCTGCATTATCATGTCTAGCTCTTAAACCAGCTGGAACAGGGTACAATGTGCTTTGCCTTACTGATCAAAAGTCTGCTTTTTAAGACTGGCTTTTCCAAATTAAGAAATAAAATTTTGAACACCATTCTGGTAGCATTAAGATAATAGTGTAATATTTCTTCTAGAGTATATCACAGAGCATTCTTTGGTTTCATGATACCATGTTATATTCATGAACATTCTTTAAAATATTAGCCATGTCACTTTGATAAATACAAAGGGCTTTGTTTACAAGGCCTTAGCCTTTTCCTTGCAGAAACTCCTCAAAGTTGGGTAAATTTTCATCTGAAGGAGGTGTAAATTATGGGATGTGTATAGCCATAATATATATCTGTTTTGTAATCTTCTATGATCTTTTTGTAGTCTCATTCATTACTTGTACTTTTTCAAATCATAAACATGAAGAATATAGCTAGCCACTTCGAAAGTGTGATTTAAAAAAAAAAGGTACTTTTTTTTTTCTCCTCAAGTTTTTCATACAGTATCCTGTACTGAAGTCACACTGCTGAAATTATTATATGACTTTCACTGTGGTGTTGATATTTATTGTTATTATTTGGAAGTACATGAACCATCAAAATATTTTCTTGGGCACTGTACAAATAATTAGTAAACAGCAATGTAAGTTGGGATTTCAGCTGTATGTATTCAGTGCTATTAGCGTGATAAGTAAAGTTTCCCAATATGTGATTACTATTTAACTGAATAGTAGCAGCATATCTTAACTATGTGAGAAAACCTTAAAACAGTTATCCTCTTGAAAATGAAATAATTACATTGTACATTCTATGTACATGTAAGTAAGTCTTGAACTAAAAGAGTTCAGAGAAGGTAAACTGTTCCTTCCCAGGAGCGGAGCTAAAACTTAGAAGTGTAGACACTTCCCTTGTGCATGACATTGCTCGGTGTCAAGTGTGACTTACTGGGTATTATTACGAAGAATATTTATAGGTGTATATATGATTTCTTAAATATGTGAGACTTATCCACAGTTCTCAAAGTCGTTTATGGAATAAGCAACAACACCATTTTACATGCATATATCAATGCTGAGGGGATTGAACGATGGAAAAGTTCATTGCACTTCTTGGAAAGAGTAGAGAATTAATTCCAATTTTCAGTAGAGATTTATCATCATAAACTGTTTTAAATGCGTGAGGAATCCAACAGTATGAACTGTGGCTTTCAGTTGGTGTTTTCACCTTCCAGAAGGACTGGTTTACGGGTTTCTTTCTCCTCTTAACCCTGTCTAGGATGTATCAGTAGTCATTTGTAGTCAACTAGCTGTGTAACAAAATTGATACAATTTAGAAACTTACTGTAGTGCAGCTGGTAAAATACTGGCTTTTGTAAGTCAACAATAAGTATTCACAGGGGAGAATATTGGTGAAAAGGCAAGTTCATAAGCACTGCTGTTACTGATCGGCTTATACAGTGTTTCATTGTTTGACTTCTACTAAGTTGAATGCATTACCAGGAGCTGTATGAAACTTGCAGAGCCAGGTACTGAAGGCTGTTGGAGTCTAAACAGAAAACATTTGAAATTTTTTTAGTTTGCCATTCTTTTGTAGGTGTTGGGTTGGGGGTCTTTGTTTGTTTGTTTCATTGTGCTACATATTTTGCTTTGCTTGTAGGGAATAAGCATGATGATGGTACACAAAGTGATTCAGAAAATGCAGGTGCACACCGGCATTACAGTAAGCGGGCAGCACTTGAAGAACACTTAAGGCATCATCACACAGAGCTGAAAAAATCACACCAGAAAGTCCATTCCACAGAAAAGCAGCAAGAGCAAGCTGGTTTGAGTCAGACTGCCTTTATGATTGAGTTTTTTGATGAAGACCATCCTCGAAAGAGACGTTCTTACTCTTTTTCTCAGAATGTAGCAGCTCTGTGCACAGAATCTCCATCTACAACACCTCATACACGAGCTGAAAGAACGAAACCTACGTCAGGAGAGAAAGCAGTCCCTTCATCTGTGCAAGCTAGCTCATCACATCACAGAGCAGTACATGGCGTTCACGCAAAACTTCTAAAACAAAAGTCAGAAGAACCCTCTGCTGCATTACCTGTCTTACAAGCTGCATTGTTAAGGAGTTCGGGAAGCCTTGGCCATAGGCCTAATCTGAACCAGGAGGTGGACAAAAAGTTGAAAAGCCAACATATTTCTGCTGCTACTGAAAAGGACAATGAGGATGACCAGAGTGACAAAGGCACTTACACTATTGAGTTGGAAAATCCCAATTCTGAAGAAATGGAAGCTCGTAAAATGATTGACAAGGTGAGAAACCTAGAATCTATACTGATGTTAAAGTATATGTGTAGGCAACTGTCTACCACTTTTATTAAATCTACTGCAATAATACAAGATTTTAAGCCAGTCTATAGTGGTGAAATATGGAATGTCATAAAAGCAGCAGCAGGCATTCAGATGAAAATTATTAGTGTTTGATACCACTGTTCTTTTAGTTTGGTAGTTTAAATGCGTTTTCAAAAGGTTTAGGTACTGTAAGAATACTAAGCAATTAAATTAATGGGTACTTTTATGAGACTTGTTAGATTTTGATTTTTACATCCCTGTGGAAATACTTACCTGTTCTTAAAATCCTACGGTCATCCAGATTATCCAGTTTTCATCCAGATTATCATACAGAGGTAGATAACAATTGTTTTCCACACTTATGAAAACAAGATATTCAACAACAGTGACTTAAATTTCAGTGTCCATTATAAAGAGTAAGTGTAAGAAATCTTTCATTTTCCAAAATGTTTATATGATAGCTATGTCATTTTCCTACTTTGAATATAGGTTATCTGCCTCGTGAGGCTTAGGAATCTTATGATGACCAAATAACTTTTGCATGTTGGTAACTATCAATAACAATACAAATTGTATTTGCAGTTAAATAACTGCAAGTAACTCTTTCTTTAGGTTCAACAGGAAGGTGTGGGTAGGAGAAAATATATTTGTTTGGCTTAACTGACTCTTGAAGAGGATTTTTTTCTGTTATTGTTGTGTTTTCCTAAAAAAAAAATCCATTGTCGTAGAATGCTAGCATCCAATTCTGTGGAGTTTTTTTTGCCAATTTAACAGGAAATTCATCACTTGTTATGGAATTATGTGAGGATTTATTTTATGTGTCTAAAATTTTTCAGAGTTGAACACATGCGATATATTTAGCATGAGTTTTGGTTAAAAATTTTTCTTGAAAGACAGGCTATCTTCACCAGTTTGATTTTGTAGAAAAATGCTGACATAATGGGGAAATGGGAGATTTTATTCCAGATATTTTTATTTTATAAAAGGTGTTTATGGAGCATTTGGGAGGGGATTAAAATAAAATAATAAAAATAATAGTTTTGTGGTTTATAGATTTTAAAAAAAAGTACTTTTGACTTCTTTGCATTAGTATTCAAAGGACTTCTGAGAAGTAGCAGTACTCCAAATGACACAAGCAAATATTAAAGAATGTTATTGCTTTGACTTAATGACTACAAATACCTGCATAGAATTCTTAAGTTACAGATCTTCCATTAAACTTGAGTCTTGTTTTTGCTAAGTATAGTTATACAACAGGATTTGGAAACCAGATAAAAATAATAACATTTGGAAATAGTTACCTTATGTACTTTTTAATAATGTTAATACTGTCTAGTAAGATTTCAAATTATTTGTGGTCTTTAATATCTGTTCACAATATCTGCAGACAGTTTTTTTTTTTTGTTTTAACTAAACCACTTGTCATACAGGAGAGATTCAGAAACAGGAGGTGAATGTAAGTGTTAGGAATGGGAGTAAAGTGTTGTGTAATATTCTTAGTGTTGTATAAACAGCGTTTGGATATCATAGATATTTGCTAGGAGGTAAAGCAGAGCTGCTTTTTTCTTTGAGGTCTTCTCTATTTTTTTACCTACTTCCTGTACTGAATTATTGCGAACAGTTTATTTTACACCCAGTTCAAAGAGTCCTGCTGCACAATTCTTATTTGATTTGGTAATATGAAATAAATATATTATTATCTTTAGGAAGTGCAGAAAAAACAACTGGTGAAGAAAATAAGAGAAAACAAATGGAAGCCAAAATTTCTTTCTGCACTTGAGCTTAGTTTTACTTTCTTCCTGTTTTGAATTGCTAATGCTGTGGATTCTGTTACTTTGCTCAAGGTGGATAAGTGAGGAATGAGATAAGGAGGTTTGTTAGCTTGTTGTGGTTTCTTAGCACTGCTGTGCTGCTTTGCTACAGCGTGGTGACTGAATGGGTAGATGCAGGGAGACCAGTTGCTGTAGTCTACCTTGGCCTTAGCAAGGTGTTTGACACAGTCCCCCCATAACATCCTCCTGAGCAAGCTCAGGAAATACAAGCTAGAGGAACAGGCAGTGAGAGGGGTGGAGAGCTGGCTGCACAATAGAGCACAACGAGTGGTGATCAATGGTGCCAAGTCCAGCTGGAGACCTGTAGCTAGTGGAGTCCCCCAGGGATCAGTGCTGGGTCCAGTCCTCTTCAACATCTTCATTAATGGCCTCAATGATGGTATAGAGTGTCTGCTCAGCAAGTTTGCTGATGATGCAAAACTGGGAGGTTTGGCTGATACAGCTGAAGGCTGTGTGGCCATTCAGTGAGATTTGGACAGACTGGAGAGCTGGGCCAAGAGGATCCTAATGAGTTTCAACAAGAAGAAGTGCAGAAGCCTGCACCTGGACAGGAGTAATAAAATGCACCAGTACAGGTTAGGAGGAGATCTGCTAGAGAGCAGTCCCATGGAGAGGGACCTTGGAGTCCTGGTGGACAACAAGTTTTTGAAGGGACAGCAGTGTGCCCTTGTGGCCAGGAAGGCCAATGGTATCCTGGGGTGCATTAAGAAAAGTGTCCAGCAGAACAAGGGAGGTCCTCCTCTACTCTGCCCTGGTGAGACCTCACCTGGAGTATTGTGTCCAGTTCTGGGCTCCCTATTTCAAGAGGGACAGAGATCTACTGGAGAGAGTCCAGCGGAGGGCTGCGAGGATGACTGGGGGACTGGAACGCCTGCCGAATGAGGAGAGGCTGAGAGACCTGGGACTTCTTAGTCTGGAGAAGAGAAGACTTAGGGGGGATCTAATTAATGTGTCTAAATATATGCGGGCTGGGTGTCAGGAAGGAAAGGGCAACCTCTTCTCACTTATGCCCTGCAACAGGACATGGGGCAGTGGTCACAAGCTGGAGCACAAGAAGTTCCACCTCAACGTGAGGAGGAACTTCTTTCCTGTAAGGGTTGCAGAGCACTGGAACAGGCTCCCCAGGGAGGTTGTGGAGTCTCCTTCCTTGGAGACTTTTAAGACTTATCTGGATGTGTTCCTGTGTGACCTGCCCTAGACTAGATGGTCCTGCTCTGGCAGGGGGGTTGGACTCAATGATCTCTGGAGGTCACTTCCAATTCCTAACATTCTATGATTCTGTGTGATTTTATCCATAATTCCAGGATAACCTCTTTTCCTTTGTTGGCAAGTCAGTCCTTTTTCTGAGCAGTTATGATACTTGCTCAACTGAGTCTCTTAAGAGTGTCTGTTGGGTCAAAAAATAACTGAAACAGAAGAATTGCATTTGCTAGGATTGGGGTGAAAGTGCATTACAATAGCAAGGAACTACATTACAAAAAGCAACTTTCTAGAACATTTGCACAAGTAATGCAGCCTTGTGAGTAACAACTGCTATTAGAATGGTGGTAAGATTTGTGTTTGATTTACGTGAATAATTTCCTATGAAGTAAAATACTTCTGACTTGGGGGTATTTTTTTTTCCCTTTTACTAGAGGAAATGGTGAGAATGACCAAAATATCCAAAGGTTATTTTCGGCATGACTCAATTCACTGGGAAGCCTAAGCCTTGGCCTTACTTCTATAGGAGTAGAAGCATCTCCTCTTTTCTCTAGGAAGGAACGTAAGAGCAAACCACAAATGCAAGAGTGGCATTAACTTGGCAAACTTCAAGTGGTTAATAATGCTTCTTTGAGTTAGGAATCTGAGAGAGGCATACAGGAAATCAAAGTTAAAAATTCTCAGAAAATTGAAAATAAATTATCTGTGTAATTTTTTTAAAAGGGGGGTAGACCTTAATATTGAGCTTCATTTGTTTTCTTTGAAAGTACCATTTTTGCTCAATGTAGCCTTTTACTAAAGATTCTAGGAAATATACTTAAGGAAAATGGATACATATGTGAAATGATTTTAAGAATCTAAAAACAATGCTGTCCTGCTTATTCAACATCTTGATTTAATTTTGATTGCTAAGGATCCATTTCTTCCTCTGCTACTCTTTAAGTCTCCAAGAAAAAAGTGTTGTCTTTACATCAGAAAAGGAGTAGAATAACAAACCATTGCTTCTTGATTGTTTTATTTGTGGATGAAAAGTTATAGTATGTCATGAAAACAGCAAGTAGATGGTTTTCATCTGTAAACATTAGAAAAAAAGTGCAGGACTTGTACTCACCTGAAGGCCTACAGAGGTTGTTCCTGTTTCACTTGTATGTCAGTTAATCATTTGGATTGATTGTATTCATAAATCTTAAAGATACTCTCAGAAGAAGTAAATATGACTACCTTGTGGCCAGCTTTGAACAGGTTACTTATGTTTATATTTGAAGTGTCATGTTTCTTAGAGGGGAAAAAAAAAAAATTTTTCTTGGAGAACAGCAACCACCACCAACAATGAAATTAAATAATAACTGGGGAAAAACAAACAAAAAAAAACCCCACCAAACAAACACACAAAAACCCCACCAAGTTTGATAGAGTTTAGGAGAAAACTTTACATATAAATTAATGTAGGAAGCTATCATTGAAGGAAAATGAGTATGGCTGGAGGGGTATTGGTTTTACTTCTGCAGATTTCATTTACTGGTATTTCTGAATGGAAAGATTTGTCAGAGTTCCTGTTGAAGAGCTAGTGGTTATAATTTGGAAAGAGCTGCAGTCTTTAGCTGTTACCTGCTGTAGCTGCCTCCTCAGTCAATCAGCTGGTCAGAATGCCATCTCCACAATACTCCTGTGCTGGCATGGGATCCAGCTCTGCTTTTCACGGGTAAAGCAAACTCATGCACACAGACTCCAGCTTGTATTATTGAAAATACTGTTCTCTGAAACACACGTTCAGGGACTTCTGACTCATTTTATTTTTTGGTAATTTGATATTATTACTATTTCTTTCAAATCCTGCTGGATTTTCTGATATATAGAGACTGAGTGAATACTACCAGTATTACTGGTATGGAAATGTGTTGTACATTTCCCTCTTCTGTCACTAGTTCA